CACTGATTAATTGGGTCAATGGACTGAGGAGTGGCAATAGATCTTAATTTGATCAAAGTGAGGTGTTGTATTTTGGTAAAACAAACGAGGACAGGACTTACAGGAATTGGGATGTCATGCTAGGCCTCTTCTGGAGTACTGTGCCCAGTTCTTGTCACCCTGTTATTGGAAGGATATTAAGCTAAAGAAGGTTCAGAAAAAAAAAATTACCAGAATGTTGCCGGCAATGGAAGGTTTGAGTTATAAGCAGAGGCTGGATAGGATGGGATTTCTCTCCCCCCACTCAAGAGGTTTATAAAATCATGAGGGACATAAATAAGGTGAATGGCAGGTGTCTCTTCCACAGGATGGGGTACTTCAAGACTAGGGGGCTTATTTTTAAAGATGAGAGGAGAAAGATTTAAAAAAGACATGAGGGGCAACTTTTTTTGCGTTACAGTGGTTTGTGTCTGAAATGAACTTCCACAGGAAGCGGTTGATATGGAACAGTTGCAACAAGTGCAGGAAGGTGGGTACTAGTTTAGTTTGGGTTATGGTCGGCATGGACTGATTGGACCGAAGGGTCTGTTTCCATACTGTATGACTACAATTCAAAAAGACAAGCATGTTAACTGTTAAACATCTCTACTGTATACTGATAGCATTTCGTGAATAAATTGCACCCCCTAGTGTTTTGTTTTGTAGTAACAGTATTTAAACCACATCAAGAAACAAGAGCCAGAGTTGAGCTTGCTCCAGTCACCAAGATAATGGTTGACCCCTTGCCTCAGTTCCATCTTCCTGCACTTGTCCCCATAATCCCCAATTCTATTAGCACCTTATCATTGACACGAATTGAATATACTCAACAGGCATGCAAAGTTCTCTGGAACAGAGAATTCCTAAAATTCACAATCCATTTGACAATAAAATCTCATTTCAGTTTTTATCAACTGACCCCTTATTTTGAGACCATGAACTGGTGTCCCAGGTTCCCAGCCACAGGATGCATTTTCTCAACATTGGTCATTTGCATTCTAATAAGGATTGCATATATTTCAATTAGACCACCTCTGATTTTCCTAAATAGAAAAGAGACCATAGACCCAGTCTATTAAAACTGTTCCTCACAGGCTGATCTGCCCATTCTGGGAATTAATGTAGTCATCATCATACTTCTGTTAGACAATATATACTTCTGGGCTGGTGGGGGGTGCACTGTGTTAAAACACAGACGCAAAGCCAAAAGCAAGTTCTGTTTCAATTCAGAACAGTTTCAAACCCAACAGAAGGCCAGTTTACTTCTGACAATAAAATCAAAAAGAACTGCAAGACGCTGCAAATTTGAAACACAAGAAATTGCTGGACAAACTCAGGCAGCATTGATGGAGAGAATGGAGAGTCAATGCTTCGGTCCAGCAACTGTTCGTTAGAACTCTGTTTACTAGTTCTGAAGAAGAGACAGTGGACCAAAACATTGGCTGTTTTCTCTCCACAGATGCTGCCAGACCTGCTGAGTTTCTCTAGCAATTTCTATTTTTGTTTTAGTTCTAGATCTGGCAATCTCTAGGCCAGAGCTGGAAAGAAGCCTTAAGCTGCTTGAACAGTACTTAATGTTTTTGGAATTAAGTAAGAAAAGTTAGTGTTTGCACCCGTTGGAGGAAGACTCACAGAATCACTTTGAGAATGTGCAGAAAGTCACCGATAGGAAAGACTTCTGACCTCACCAGTTGAGTAAGAAATTTTGAAATGAAGATAGGAGCAATACCTCAAATTTGGGTTTAGTGGCTGTAAAGGGTATTGTTGGGAAAATGGTTGCATTTGCCGGTTATGACAAGATCTTTCCAAAGTGCTTTATGTAGATTTGATTCATTTTTCTTATGTACAATATACTTGTTTTCATTTGTTATATACACATTGACATCCTCGTGGGTTTATGTTCAGTGACTAACAATCAATCACAGTAACCGAGCTACAAAAATAAAGAACTTATACTACTTTATCAAGTTAAGTTTCTTGTCTAGTATTGCAAGCAGCTGGAGTCTTAACAGTACCACAAATAAAATCAGGACTGCTGCTCCAAATTATTTGATCTGGTAAAGTGACAGTGACATTCTCCATTCCTATCCCAAAGTTGCCACTAAATGATGACCATCTTTATTCTGAATTTTACTAAGCACTAATGTGCTATCCAGCAGTTGCACTCTATCACTGAAACCACACTCCCCACCCCCAACAATAAATAAATCACTAAAATTAGTTACTACAAATTAACTTTAAAGTTCAATACTATATTGTTTACTTCAAATTGTTTTTAAGAGGTCAAGATGCACAGGTACATGTTGGGAAATTTTCTGGACTAAAAAGAGAAGTAGTAGATAAATGGTGGATGCTGCAGAAGAGAGGGGAAAAAGTGATTTTATCGTTGGCTGACTGGCCCAGGAATGTTTAAATACTGGGAGAAAATAACTGGAGGAGAGGAGATCCTGACATGTAGTAAGTGGACAGACAGGCTGTGAGCATTCAGAATGGACTCCACTGGATATGTGAGCATAAAAGATGGAAAAGGAAGCTGGAAAGAGAAGGTGGGGTGGGGGGGGAAACCATGAAAAACACTGACGAGTAAAAGCTAAAGGAAAATCCAAAGGCATTTTATAAATATTAGGGACAAGCGGATAACAGGGAAAGTGGGTCCCAGTGAAGGACCTAAATGTCTGATAGGTTTGATTGAGAATTTTTTTTGAGAAAGTGGCTAGCTGTATGTGTGCATGACGGTAATACAATGGACATAGTCTACCTGGACGTCGGTAAGGCTTTTGACAAGGTCTCACACAGGATACTGATCAAGAAAGTAAGCAGCAACAGGATCCAAGGTAATTTGGGAAATTGGATCCAAAATTGGTTTAGTGGTAGAAGGAAGAGGCCGAGATTGTTTGAGAGACCGTGTGCCTGTTTCAGTGGCGTACCATGGAGTTCAGTGTCGTGTTCCTTGCTGTTGAAGTGCCCACTAATGATCTAGGCATGAATGCAGGAGTTTTAAATCAGTCAGTTTGCAGGTGACACAAAAACTCGTGGTGTGATAAATAGTGAGGAGAATAGTCTCAGGCCGAAAAGGACAATACAGACACAGGTTGGTCAGATGGGTAGAACATGGCAAATGGAATTTAATCCTCAAAAATGTGAGGTGATGCATTTTGGGAGGACTAACAAGGAAAGGGAGTACATTATAAATGGCAAGACCATAGGAAGTAGAGAGGATCAGAGAAATCTTGGTGCGCATGTCCGCAGTTCTTTGAAGGCAACAAAATAGACGGATAAGATGGCATATGGGGTATCTGTCTTTAGTAGTCCAGGCATTGAATACTGGAGCAGGGAAGTTATGATGGAGACGTTAGCAAGGCCATAGTTGTAATGTGTACAGTTCTGGTCATTACATTACAGGAATGTCTTCATACAAGACAGCGTGCAAAGGAGATTTATCAGGGTGTTGCCTCAGCTACAGCATTCCAGCTATTAAGAGAGAGATTAGATAGCCTGGGATTGTGCTCCTTGTGGCAGAGAGGTGACCTGATTGAGGTGTACACAATTATTAGGGGCAGAGATAGGAAACAGCTTTTCCTCTTAGGAGAGGGATCAATTACCAGAGGGCACAGTTTTAGGATCAAGAGGAGGAAGTTGACAGAGGATATAGGAAGTTTCTTTTAAATTTGGAGGATGGTAGCTATATAGAACCCACTCCCTTAAAAAGGGTAGTAGAGGCAGGAATGATCACAATATTTTAGTCTTTAGATGGATCACTTGAACTACCACAGCATATATAGCTACAGGCCAAGTGCTGGAAAATGGGACTAGAATAGGTAGGTGCTTGATGACCCATCAGGATGAGATGGGGCTGAAGGGTCTCTTTCCATACTGTAAAACTCTGACTAAAGAATGCTACATTGTTGTCGAAAAACACTATTTTACATGGTATAAGTTATTCTGTGATATGACATTACATCATCTAAATTACAGTGACCATCACAAAAAGGACCTGTTATCATCCTACAATATAGGTGACTAGTCATGATATCGTTCTTTTGCCATAAAGAAATCAGCTCATTTCTCACAATCAAACTCCTTTTACATCATTGTTTCCATCTTCAAGCGCAGAAGTTGAAAGTTGAATTGAAAACAAATAGAAGTCACCTTTCCTTATTTGCATTCTCTTTCTAAGTGTGTGAGGAACAACAGTTGCAGTACAGGAATGACTAACAAAGCGTATGGAAAGGGAAAGAACACACTGTTAAGGGGAGCACCACAGTCAATCAAGAATTTAAAAAGAGCACAGATGTTGAGGTTGGATCAGTTTGATGCAAACTAGGAGGTGCAGTTAGTCAGAATTTTCAAAGCAGCCATTATGAAAATGATTGGCTTGTTTTCTTCTCAACCATGTTGATAATTACATGGAGTGAAAAAAAGGCAGTTTCCAAAAATTCAACTACAGACAAATACTTTAGAATCAAGTCTCAGGCTTCGAACGCAAAAACAACCTTCACTGGAGAAATTCTCCAATTTGTGTGAAAAGCAGTATTTCATTCTGAACTTTATTCTAAGGACTCTTTAGCTCCCGATAATGATTTTTCACACATTTAACTGCTGGTTTAGCTACTTTCCAATTACTAATTACCTTAAAGAGACAAGCAAAAAGCACCTTGCTTTCTCAGTTTGATCTTACTATTTCCATTAAGATCATTATGAAATTAAACTACTTGACTTGTTCACATTTCTGATTTCTCATTTTACCCGATTTATTTTTATTATTGGTGGTGCAATAACCTGACAATTATTTATTTCACAGGCCACACTTTCAGGTGTGATAGCTCTGAAAGGCAACATGGCAAATAAATACTGGACACGAGGTGTAGAAATCACATTATTTAAAATGCTTTACCTGTACGATTTCTTAATGTCCTCTGGCGTAGCATTTTTCTCAAGTCCCAGAACAACGTATAGTGTTTCCCCTGAGGTGGACAATGAGCGCTGCCTTTGGTCAGCCATTTTACACTAAGAGAAGTAAAAAGATAATGAGAAAACACAAACAGACGTTTCTCAGCGAACATAGATTTAGTTCAAATGGCATTTCAAAGCAAATGACGACTTAACCACTGGAAATATGTTACAGTAGCACTATTTTAGAAATTATTAATATGTGAAAGAAACAAATTTAGAGAAAATTGACCTAAATTTTTCCAGTGCATTGTATCTGTGCTGACTGATTAAAAACTGCATCCTCTACTGTTTAACATGGATGTCAGTTGTAACTTCGAAACCTCCAAAGCTGTAAGTTATGGTGAAATGCATTACATTTAAATTAATTAAATTTGCTGAATACATGTGATGACTGAAACTATAATTTCTCACATGCTACAGTAATTACAATGGATTGTTACATTACGTACAGATGTTAGTTTTTACAATGTATTTCACAAGCTATATTCTACATCATTGCATTACACAACTTCTTATATTTCAATGTGCAAGGAGGTTCAAATTACATTTGAATTTTTGCTACTTGTCCAGAAAAAAAAACTGAAAATTTGTAAACATCTATCAAATTGAGACAAAGACCTCCGTACACCCATCTGTAAAACTGTACAGAAGTGGATTTCACTACATCTGATCTGCAAATTTTATGGGCAGATGCAGATTGAAGATACCAACACCACACAGTGCCCCTTTGTTAACTTTACCGTATTGCAGCCAATACATGACACACAGTAAACATATGCATTTATTCATCTTGGCTGCACATTTACAATAGCCTTTTAAAAAAGTTACACTTCCAGTGTTGACATTTTAAACTAGATTTTGATTTCATGAGTTTTAGATTACTGTCATGGTTAAATATTCAACATTTTGCCCCCGCCCATCATGTCCATCTTTTACGTTTTACCAAAAGTGATTCAGATTTTTAACACACTTCTTAGAAAAGACAAACATGGTTATTTACCACTAATGAAAACAGTGTGCTCACATTAAATACCAGAAGGCAGACATTTAAGTTGTTACAGCATAGCTTTCGCCACGAGTAGAAACAATCCTGATTTAATATTTGTCATCACAAGTAGTCTCCTGATGGATTTATAGGCAAGTCATCATTACCAGAAAGTACTCGTCCATATTGCTGCCTGCCAGTAATACTCTTGAAATTCAGTAAGTTAAAAGACAAAAAGCCAGAAATATGAAAGACACACATTATGCTGACAAGAAACAATATAACAATAAAATCTGAAGTATTAAAAAGTGATTAACAAATGCCAGTAATTGACAAGGGTGCAGTATGAAACATAATAAAGAATACTTGGCAAGGATTTCAAATGGAAAAAAAATCTTTGACCAACTGAGTCAATTTTTGACAAGATAACAGAGACAATGGTAATGCATTTTGTAAAATCTACCTGAATTTTCAAAAGGCCTTCAACTGATGTGCTCCATAATAGTCCAATGAATACTGTCAGTCAATGCACGGTTGAGCAAATAACAGAATAAACTGGTAGCTGGCTTGACTCAGATAGAAAACGCAAGTGAATAAAAAGGATAGTCATTCTGAGTGATAGAAGGGAAATTTCAGAAGGATCCATGGCAGTATCAATGCTGCACGAAATTTACAATGATTTGAACTTCAGAATCAAAAGCAATTTCTAAATATGTGGTGCTGCCTTCTGAATTGTTTGCTGCATCTGTATACAAACTATCAGTGACGTATGAACAAGAATACCAAGGTCTCTTTGGACAAATACAATTTCCAATCTCTCATCATTTAAGAAATGCTCTTCAATCTTGTTGTTCCTCTCAAAGTGGATGGTCTCAGTTACCCACATTTATTTTCCATTTACTGTGCTCTTGTTCACTCACTCAGCCACTCTAAATCCCCTTGGAACCTCTGTTTCCTCTCATTTCCATCAAGTTTTGTATCTTTCACAAACTTGGAAAAATTACAACTGGCCCCAGATCCAAACTATAGGTATGGATTGTTAAAAGTTGGGATACGAAGCCCTGATTCAATAGTACCTCACTTGTAGCAGCCTGCCAACCGAGAATGACATTTATTCCTACTCATTGCTTATGGGGAAATTTGGCTTGGAAGTAGATGATCAACCCTGATCTAGAGTGGTAGAGCAGGGCTGAGGGGCTGAATGGCCTATTCCTGCATTCATGTTCCAAGGAACATACTCACTGACATATCGGTTGGGTGCCACCAGACCATTTGGCACCTGACTTCATTACAACATTGGCCCAGGCATGGACAAGTAGTAAACTCCTTAGGAAAAAAGAGGTAAGAATGACTGCCTTTGGGATCAAGATAGCATTTGACTGAGTATGTCATCAAGAACCTAGAAAAACTGGAGTTAATGGGAATCAGGGCGAAACACTCTTCTCGTTGTAATCATATCTTGCACAAAGATGATGGTCATGCTTGTTGGGGACCAATAATTTCCGTCTCAGGGTATCACTGCAGAAGTTTCTCAATGTAGTGTTCCAGGCCCAATTAACTTTAACTGCCTCAATCACCTTCCCTCCATCAGACATTGTTCTGTATCATTCATAACTTTCCAAGTATTAAAGTAGTGCCTGTACTCCTGTGCAGCAAGACCCAGGCAACATCCAAGCTTGAACTAATGGATAGCACAAATGCTAAAAGTTACTTAAGTGGCAGGCAATGAATATTCCAAAGAGAATCTAATAGTTTCCCTTTGATATTCAATGGCATAAATCACAATTTCCAGTCTCTTCATCCTGAAAGTAAAGATTGACCAGAGAATGAACAAGACCAAAGTTCAGGAAATCAGAATGACGAAGTAGTTTGGATAGACATGAAAAATGATAAATGGAAAGAAATCACTTGGAGAAATGTTGTATAGGCCCCCTAAAATGTAACCACAGAGCAGAATGGAGTATCAAGGAAGATAATATTGCGAGATTCTTGGAAAAAGGCATAGTAGTAAATCATGGGGGAAATTTTGGTCTGCAGAATATGTAGACTAGAAAAATCAGATGAGCAAAAGGTAGCCCAGGTTGTGGATGGGGGTGCCAACATACCATCCACTAATGCTTTAGTGATGTTCCATCACTTCTAAGTCCTGAAATTGCCTGTTGAAGTCCTCCAAATTCCTCGGGTGTGCAGAGGTCTTCTGCATGGAACCATTTTTCTCCACCCTAGTCTCTATCCTTATCCTGCACTTCACAGCTTGTTCAGTTTTGACATTATGTACGTAGTGAACCCGAAAATGAGCACCACACATTGTTCCTTGACTTAAGAAAATTTACGACTTCAGGCATATCTAAAAATATTTGTGGGACCTTTGATCAACTTTACTACCTTAGCATGGAAGGTTAATTCACTGCAGCTCACGTTGAGTTTAACACGCAAGGCCTTAAACAGGGGAGCTGAAGGGCTCTTGTTCAAGTCGAACTTGTAACCTTAACAGCAACTTTCATTGCATGAAAAAGTTCATAACCTTACTCACTGTTGCTTGCTGGCAGATTTATACAGTGGTAATTCATAAAGAGGCAGGAAAGCAGGACCTTTTCTGCAAAATACAACAAACTCCACATTTGCACGAAGTAGAGCTGGCTCATCAACAGTTGTGATGGTGAAATAATTACACAGAGGCTGGTATCCCATCATCAAATCACCCTTTATTTACTTGTGAACAATACACTGGCTGCGGCCAGCCAGCTCAGAGTCAGTCCCCCAAACAGAGGAGATTCTAAATGCCCTGTTTATATTGGTCAGCCAGGGGTTCCTGATTGATTGGCCCAGGTTAACAACCCCAATGTTCTTCTTGACCAGAAGATGCACTTCATTCCAATCATTATATCCCTCCCCCTCCAAGTCCCGGGATGTAGGTCTGGTCTTTCTCGTAGCTTTTCCTGCGACGTTTTCACTCCAGATCCAGTTCCTCTGACTCAGATTCTAATAAGTGACATGTACCAGACTGTAGCCCATCACTTGCGCCTGGAGTGTCTTGGGAGAGTTTCCTCCTCTTCTTCTAGCAGAAGCAGTATGGAGGCTGCATCCATATTGGATGCTGAGTGTTCCTCAGCACTAGGCACCAGGGAGAACCTATGGTTTCTGACAGGCCTTCTGGCTGTTCCATGGGGCCAGGTATGTTTCGTTCCAGCCCAATTTGCAAGGCAACACTTTCAGGTCTGTCTCACCTACCCAAACTTTAAGCCACGGGACCTGTCCTCACGTCAACCTCACCTCATACCCATACTGGGCCATTCCCACAGTTACAGCACTAAACTTTGTCCCCCGAATTAAACCGTCTCTCTCGCTTCGAGGCGGCACGTGGCCAACACTGGTGCTCCTGCTGCTGTTTCACACCTCCAACCCAACCAGGTCTGGAACTATTAGGTTTAAACTTGGTGCAGAGTCTTCTCCCCATCAGCAACTCCGCTGGAGCCATCCTTGTTGTTGCGTGCAGGGTGGTCCTATAAATCGAACAGCAACTGGGACAGTCTGGTATCAAGTGACACTATAGCCTGACTTCAATGTTTGGACTACTCTTTCCGCTAGACCATTGGACAATGGATGGTGTGAAGCTGTCCTTATGTGCTGAATGCCATTCAATTTTCGGAAATACTCAAATTTCCTACTGGTAAATGACGCCCCATTGTCCGTGACCAATACTTGTGGGTGTCCATGTATCGTGAACAATGCTTGCAGCTTCTCAAATAGTCATCCCGGAGTTTGCCAAATGAACTTTATGCATGTTCAACCACTTTGTGGATGCCCATTCAAATGGCCAGGAACATTGAGCCCATAAAAGGATCGACATAGTCAACACGCAACCAAGTCCAAGGTTTACCCAGCCACACCCATGAACATGGAGGTGCTGCTGGTGGCACCTTTTGTCCTTTTTGGACTCTTGCACCTCCCCACCAACACAGCAATGTCAGCATCCAACCCCGGCCACCAGACATCGCTTCTTGCCAGTATCTTCATCTTGGAAACTGCTGGATGACTCTGGTGGAGTTCAACGAGCATCTGGTGGTGA